CACAAACAGGGGGGGCGGAATCAAGAATTCTCAAATGGGCCATGTCTATAAATAGCATCTTCAAATTTGATGAAGATTTGACACCTCTCCAAATGAGAAAGCAATCTTCTCTTAAGTTTTGCCAAAACAAAGAAAGTTTTGTTAGGATCTTAAATTTTTGGACAATATACTAGTACTGTCGGGCTCCTCACCTCCTTCCTCACTCGTTCTCTTAGAAGCCTCTAAAAATAACAATTTCAGTATGAAGTCGGACAGACATATCACTCTACTCTCCAGAGAACATGAACCCTCTAAAAGTTACAAAATAGCAATCGTACCTGCTTTCGTCCCCGAGGCAAAGTGGCCACAGTGTCGGCCAGCATTTGAATCCGTCTATTATCATCCATGGAAAAGCTGCCTGTGAGTAGGGAGCATGAGCCGCATGCTGGGCCAGCACAGCCGTCCACCAAATTGCCATTGCTGCTCTGGTGCATGAGCCTTGGTAAAGACATTGTGCACAAAGATCACTCCAGCTGGCACATGGTTGAATGGCCTTGCAGGATGGGGGAAGCTAAAAGTATAAGCCTCTGACAAGTAATCAGAAGTAGCAAAGCAGAAAGAGCCCATGTGACTTCTGTGGTTTGAGGTACTTGTTACAGAAACCCTATCTTGCAGTTCACTCCCATTTCTCAGTGGCTTTTTTCTTTGTGCTCCTGAGAGGAACCTATAGCTATTTGTTACCACTAAAAAAGAACCAACTTATTTCTCCCCCCTTCAAACAGCCAGGACTCTTATGCGTTCATGTTCTCTGATAAGTTGTGTTCAAAACACCATCTGCCTTTTTTTTTTTTAAAGGAAGAAAAATTTTCCCAAGTTCTGCCATTTGTTTCCCATCCATTTTCCTATTTAATATGAGCAAGGCGATGTAAAAGCCAGCATGTGCGAACATTCAGTTCTCGTGAGTATAAGCAGGAATTACAGGGTCCGGTCATAATGTTCTCTCGCAAAGTCCTTGTAATGTACTTTCCCCAAAGTACACTGTAACCCATTAATGTTCATCAGAAAGACATTATATGTGCCACGTGGACTGTAACCATTCAGCATTCTCCTGGTTGTCCTTTAACTACGTTGCCCTGGCTAACATTATCCATCATCTTTACAAGGAACAAGGGCAGGGGAAGACCGGCACACGTAGAGCACAGAATTGGCTATATTTTAGAGTGGACTTTGCTGCAGCATCAGCAAGTGGGCCTTGGGAGGAATGGAGAGGGCAGGAAGGTGACAGGCCAACCAAAGTGGCACAAGAATGTTGCCAATGGCCCCTGCATGTGCATATGGGTCAAGGGCACCATGGTGAAGTAGTCAAGACCGCATGCTTTTTCCGGCTGGGGCTGGGGACATGTGTTTTGAGAGAACTGGTTTCAGAGGAGGAGCAAGGGATGGAAATAGAAGGAAGAATCAAAACAAAAATTAAAAAAAGAGAAGTTTTACATAGTCTAAAAAGTCAACTACGATTTTTGAAATCATTTTGAGGGTCAACAGTAGAATTTAGGAAGTCTTTCAACTAAAATGAAAGTCGAGGTGAATTCCGCTCAAGCAGAACCTGTGAAATGTAAAAATAGTAAAATCTTCAGAGTTAGCAGTGCTTTATAATTGGCATAGTTAATTGCCAAAGTCAATATCACCCAGGTTATGGTAATTGTCATTATGGTGTTACTAGAGGCCTGATGCACGAAATTCGTGAAAAAGTAGACCTTCCTTCCAGCACCAGCTTCCCTCCGGCACCAGGGACCCAGGCTTCCCTCCAACCTCAGACAGGCATCCGGGACCCAGGCTTGCCTTGCAGCCCGGGCTTCATCTGGAAGGTCGTCCAGAAGGATGTCCAGTCTAATTAGCATATTATGCTTTTATTATTACAGATGGTATTAGTGTGAGCTAACTAATACACTCTCTGAACCTCAGTTTCCACATTCTAAAATAAAAATTTTTAGTGAGGAATAGATAAAATAGTCCACACATATCACTTTGTAAAAGTGAAGAATTACCATGGAGTTTTTGTATACAGTAATAAGAATTTAAAAGGAAAAACTTTAAAGAAAAACGTTTCTTAATGCTCTATGAGCTGCCCTATCCATTACCAAATGCACCTCATGGCTTCATCCACCATATAGTCTAGCAGTGGTTCTCAACCTTCCTAATGCCGCGACACTTTAATACAGTTCCTCATGTTGTGGTGACCCCCAATTTCATTGTTACAAATTGAACATAATTAATGCATAGTGATTAATCACAAAAACAATATGTAATTATATATGTGTTTTCCGATGGTCTTAGGTGACCCCTGTGAAAGGGTCGCTACCCACAGGTTGAGAACTGCTGGCTAAAGCAAGCATGTCAAACTCGTGGCCTGCGGGCCACATGCCTCCTTTATTTGGCCCGCATTAGCCTTCGAGTTTGACATGCTTGGTTTAAAGGCTAAAATGCATGTAAAAATCTTAGCTGTCATTCACCAAGGTATGCTTGCAAAGCAGTCAGAGCCAGTGTCTGAAGTTTCTGGATTACCATTAGACCGACTCATCTATTCATTAGGGTACACGTGGGAGTCAGTGGTTACTTATAAAATAAGGATGCATCTCTGTCCTTCTGATTTTATGATAGTTATTGAGTTTTTGTTCATTTTGGTTTGGCTGTTTGCCTTTATTTGCATAAGAAGACTTTATTCAGTTTCCTGGAATATTACAAGGTTTTGTTTTGTGGTTTGCTTATTCTGTTTATTTTGGCTTTTTGCCTTTATTTCCACAGAAAAACCTTTATTTAGCTACCTGGACTGATGTAGGAAATGGGGTAAAGTCGTGGAGATAATATTTGAATATTTTATGTTTGAATTTGTATAAGGTAGACTCTATATATCCCAAGAGCCCACAGACTGGGATGACTGCTTGTCCTATTTCTCACTTTATTTGAGTGATTGGCTGGTGGAAGGGTGTCTCCATCTTCCCCACCGAGGATGGATCATTGGGACTCTCAGAGCAATTCCCATAGAGGAGTAGTCTTTCAGAAAAAGGTAAAATAAACTCTATGATCAGGATTGGCTCTGAAAAGTAGCTAGCACAGGAAAGGGCAGTAAGGAAACAGAGGTTGTGAAGTCCCTGTATTAGAAATCCCAAGGGAGATGCAAACCAAGTATTAGTTTAGAGTTGTGACATACATATCTATCTATCTATCTATCTATCTATCTATCTATCTATTCCATTTGACCTTCCCCCCAGCCTCCTCTATCCCTCAGCACATGCCCTCATCCCCCTCCCAGTGTCTTGCATCCATTGGTTATGCTTATATGCATGCATAGTCCTTCGGTTGGGGAGGTGACATACATATTTAAAACAGCACACACACACAGCTTTATACCTAATATAAATAATAGCTAACAATAAATCATACCCATATATTGTTAACACATATACAAGGAAACAATTTTCTGAACTATTAAAGTTTAATGCAGTCAAATCATGGCCTATGAGTAGATTACAATATCATCCAAGAGCTTAAGTCCTGACTTCATCTGGGGCCTTAAATAGATTATCTAGATTGGCTTTTCAGGAATCCACTTAGGTAATTTCAAGCCTTTAGATGTAAAACTAAATGTCTTGATACTTTCATGTCATGTACTTATCACATAGAATCATCATTAACTATATTTTTAAAAATTTTACTTTTTAAAAATGTTTTTCTTTGCTTTGAACAATCCCAAGTAAGCTAGGAATTGAAGAAAATATTTTTAACATAATAAAAGGTATCTGCCAGAAACACCCACCAAATATTGTCCTGAATTTTGAAATGTGTCTCCATTATAGTAGTGAGAAGGCAGTGATGACAATAACCCTCACCACCTGTCACTGTTTTGTTCTATATCATAGATAAGAGGTATAGAATTTGGGGGGGGAAGGGGGTAAAGAAAAGGGAGAGAGACAAAACTGTAGGCTTGTTGGTAATATGGTTGCATGACTAGAATATTCAAGACACTCCCCTGAAGAACAGACTTAGTAAGACAGTTTTTCTAAGTGTAGAATTCAAAGGACGCATATAAAAATAAATAAATTTCTCAAACAGCAACCATGATGATAAGGAAGGAGTTATAATAATAGAGGAAAGGAATACTGTCAAAATAACCAAAAAGTCATAAAACAGGAATAAACCTAGCAAGCATTTTTAAACCCTTTGTTTATATTGATTTGAGAGAGAGAGAGAGAGGTAAGGAGAGAGAGGGGGAGAGCAAAACACTAATTGTTCCACTTATCTATGTATTCATTAGTTGATTTTTGTATATGCCCTGATCAGGGATCAAAACTGTAACTTGGGCTTATTGGGACGACACTCTGACCAACTTGAGCTACCCGGACAAGGTCCTAACTACCATTTTTAAGATTTTTATGAAGAACATTCTATGGGATGTCCAGACTATGGGAAAGAAACATCCTTTCCCACATGAGAAGAGTCCTTCTTGTAAAAGATGTCAATTATCCCTAATTTTCTAAAATATTCAATGTACTGTGAATCAAAATATCTGCCGTTTTTGTTTATTTGCTTGTTGGTTAATAAAATTTGATATATATTCTTACACCTATGTGAAAAAGAAAGTACATAAGACTAGCCAAGAAGAATTTTTGAAAATAATAATGGTAGGGGATGGAGGTGAGGATGGACATTGAGAAAACTACCCTACTTGGGCATCAAAAGATATTACAAAAGTTAGAACTGTATTATCAAGTAGAATAAGTCAGTTAAAGGATATTGACAAATAGCCCCAGCTGGGTGACTTGGTTGGAGTGTTGTTCGATTCCCAGTCAAGGCACATTCCAAGGTTGAGGGTTCTATCCCTGGTTGGATCGAATACAGGAGGCAACCAACTGATGTTTCTCTCTCACATGGATGTTTCTCTCTCTCTTCCTCCCTTCCTCTCTCTCTAAAATCAATAAAGACATATCCTCAGATGAGGATTAAAGAAAAAGTTAGAAAAATAGTATTGATAAATGGAATTGTCAAATGAATAAAGGATCAAAAAACATATATATATATATATATATATTATTTATTTGTTCAGAAATTTACTATATCATCAAGTTATTTTAGCTCATTAGGAAAAGAATAGACTTTTTGATAAATAGAGTTAGCACCTACTTGGAAAAAATTAAGTCATAGTCATTTATTATAATAATCAAATCAATATGGCTTAAAGAGTTAAATGCCAACATAATTTTAAATACATAAAATAATAACAGAAACTATATAATATTTTAGTAAGATTAAGTTGGAAATGGTCTTCCTAAAAATACAAAAATATCCAGAGATGATTAGCAACATAAAGATTAAAAACTT